GCGAACTTCCTGAGACAGGAAGTCTAGTCCTGCCAAGAATGTAATAAGGCTTAACGGAGAGGCAGTTTCTGTAAGCACCACCAGAATGTTTCCTTCCTGCCTTCCTTACAGGATTAGGCCAGTAATTTCTTCTAACAACCGTTCTCTGAACTGCTTAGAAGGTTAACAACCGGTTCTAGCAAATAGGTATGAACTGGTAGAATCCCACCCCTGAATACATAGCAATTCCCAGTGATTTTTACATGGTAAACTTTTTAGTGTAGGAACCTAACATTTGCTGATGCTTCACAGGAGAATACTACAGCTACCAACAATGCTGCATAAATAAATACTGCTCTTAACATGGGCAGATATTGGTTTATTACTTCCAAAAAGTAAAGACTCTTAAATATAATGGAATGGATTGATGTTCTTGTGCAACATGTATTGTAACTGGATCCACTTTGCGCAGATTCAATTTAGCCATTTCTTTTACTGAAATGCCAGTTTAAATGTGATGTATGCCTGCCACAAGAGGTCAGTGTATGCTTTTTTTTTTTTTGTAAAAATGCACATTGTTACCAATCATACAATAATGTAGGTGAAAGAGATTACAAAGTCTGTATTTATAGCATTTCATGCCTTTTACAGTGATTTTTGCTGTGGATCTTTGCTTAAATGCTGCTTTGTAAGGTGGATAAGTTAATCAAATATTTAGCAATGGGGAACAGTTCAAGAATTGATCAGTTCAGTTGTTAACTCATGCACATCTGGGAAGTGTGCTATTTTAAACATGTTTAATTCTCCATGCTTATGTCAGGCATACATTGGACCATGTTTTCCAAAATCACTCTGTGCTTTGTAGTTTCTTTTCACTCATAGGTAATTGTTTTGATTAGAGCTCTTTTCCCTCCTCTTTCTTCTCACTTGATCATATTGCTTCAAGAAATAGTAAAGTCTGTCTGGATTGATCCTTGGATGAGAACCTAGGGAGGACATCGGAAAGAAGCAGAAATAGGACTAGAGGTCCCATTGGCTCATCACTGCAATTTGGACTGCATTTCCAATCATAAATAATTATGGCTGTAAGTCAAGGCTACCCACAGGACTGGCCCCAATTTTACAATATTTTTTGCAGCTGTTTTTAAGTGACTCGTCACAGTTGTTAAGTGAATCCATGGTTGTTAAGCAAATGCCACGGTTGTAGGTATAAACTCTTTCTTTTGAATGTCCCCCCCCCTTGGAAATCAGCAAAAAAACATGGCAAATAGTGGTCATGTGACCGTAGAATGCTGCAACCAGTTGTAAAGGAAAGCCGATTTCCAAGCACCCGTGTGTACGTATGTGTGTATGGTATGACATTTTAGACAGCCTTTATGGCTTTAGGCCATAAAGCACCTGTTCTTGGCCTGTAATAATTTTGAATGGTTATTAAGCAACTGGTCATAAATTGAGGACTACCTGTACTTCCCGTGACTTCTTGCAACTCTGCTTTCTGATCCATAACCCCTGAGTCCTCAGTGGCATGACCACTGCCAAGCAATAGAATGAAGGATTGAATGGGACAGGAGCAAGAGATTAAGGACTGGGTGCTCTTGGTGAATGAGCTCTCTTGGGAATCTGGGGGAAGATGGCTGCTAGGAACTTGTGGCATGGGGCCAGGTTATCTGAGGAACTTCCTCTCTTCGATCACATCAGCTCTCCCCCATTATTTCTGGCAGAGAAAATATGATGTGGATACCATCTGCCAGAGGTAGATCCCGGATGGGTTGGACTTCTCTGCTGTGGCACCTATCCTATCTCTCCCCTAATATTAGGTTAATTTCATCTCCTTTAGATGTTTTGAAAGTCCCTCAAGGTCTCGTTATGTCACCAGCCTGGTTTCTCATGAAACATGTTTAGATTGCTCCACTCTTAAATATACTCATTCTTTCTCTGCCTGAGGTTTGTATATGTTTTAATTAAATTTTTTTTTAAACATATATATTAAATGCTGTTCTATATCTATGCCATTCTTTAATTATTATGTGCTGTCAGAATCACTTCTCCTGAGATGGACAGTTATGTAAATGTGATAAATAAACAAATTTTGTAAAGTAGGGTTAGAGGCAGATCTTCTTATACAAGCAACATTACTTATCTATATAACTCCCTTATCATCTCATGTTAAAAATGGATGATGATGCATTTATCCAATGGGCCAATTATAGGAGAAGAGACATATTAGTTTGTGGTTGCCAAAATTTAGGAGGAGTCTGATAGCAACTTTTGCAATTAACAGGTTTTGTGAAGTGAGCTATCCATTGGTGAAAGGAGATGGAGCTCAGAAATGATTGTTTAATTAATAAAATATATTAGTTAGCAAATATGCTACCATATTCCTCTTGATGAATGAGTGACTATCCATTTAGACCCATGGCATCCATGGGCCTTCTCTAACAATCCATCTCTCTCTCCCCCACCCTCTCTTTCTTTCCCATGTGGCTGGAGAAAAGGGGAAAGAATTCAATGTCAACCAGAGTCTTTAATTTTCCCATTACAGAATTCCATGTTTTCCACTTAAGATAAAAACAAAATTCCTTAGAATTTACAGTCATGGTCAATTAGCAAGGGATCGTTGAATCAGAAAGTTTATGCAAAATGTAGCTTACATGTATAATATATAATAATATGTATTATACAATGTATAAGAAAGAGAGGGAATAGCCCCACCAGCTTTTAAAGTTCCCCTCACTTGGAAAAATTCAGACCAGGGATGGCATTGATTGGGCTCATGGATGACCTCTGGTGGGAATGCAATAGAAGCAGTACATCTGTCTTGGCTCTTCTTGACCTCTCAGTGGCATTTGATACCATTGATCATGGTATCATTTTGTGCCGGCTCTGGAAACTGGGTGTGGGTGGCACTGTATTGTGCTGATTCTTCTCCTTCCTCTGGGGCTGGTTCCAGTCAGTGTTAATAGAGAAAGAGATCTAGTCCAAGGCCCCTACTTTGTGGGGTGCCTCAGGGCTCTGTTCTCTCTTCTATTTAATATTTACATAAGGCCGCTGGGTGAGGTAATCTGTAGGTGAGATATCATCAACATACAGATGACACCCAGCTTTATATCTCTACCCAGGCCTCTTGAGTGATGTTATGGATGTCCTATTTCAGTCTGCGGAGACTGTCGGAGATTGGATCGGGAAAACAGGCTCCAATTCAACCATAGCAAAAGAGTGACTGTGGGTATTTGGACTCCCCCTCAAGAAAAGGTTCTATTATCTCTGGTTCTGGGTGGGGTTACACTGTCCCAAACAGACCCAGTGTGCAATGTGGGGGGAGTCCTCCTGAACTTGTGGCTCTTGCTCAAAGAGCAGGTGACAGCCACATTTAGGAGGGTTTTTGCTCACTTTGGCGTGCCAGTTGTGCACATACCTGCTAACGGTAACTTATGCCCTTGTAATTGTTGTGGTTCACCAGCAGCCTGTGCAGACGGCAGTGGAATCGGACAGTGGGGAAGAAGGGGGACCAGTCTGCAAGTCTGGGGAGGACTCAGACGAGGGTTCTGCGTCCAATGCAGAGATTGGGCCAGGACCATCTGGGAATGGGGAGCAGCCTCCGGAGCCTCCGTCTGGCAGCAGCAAGGCAGAGGAACAAGGGGAGCCTGTTCCCAGTGCATGTGTGAGCAGAGTTGCTAGAAGGCAAGAGCAGCTAAGACAAAAGGGGCGACTCGGGAGGAAGGCTTGTAGGTGATTGCCCCTCCCCTAAGATACAAAGGAAGTACAAAAGTAGAGAAACCTTTGCAGGAAGCGAAGTCGTTCACTCTGTTCGGCTTAAACCTTGAAGCTCTGTGTGGACTTTGTACTTCAGCTGGGTTTTTACAGTTAAGTTGGCACTTTAGTTGTTGGCAGCAATTCAAAGGAGATAAAGGTGGGTGCTTATGTCGGGAGACTGTTTGAGACTCATTACAGACTGGGAATGAACATAATTCCCAGCGTTGAAATAAAACAAGAGTTGTTTGGACTAAGTGTGTGCTTAATTACAGTCTCAGGAAGCCTTGGTCAGAACAGTAACCTCAAGACTACTGTAATATGTTCTACACCAGGCTGCTCTTGAAGACCATTCAAAAATTCCAACTGGAGTGTGGCTGCACGAGTAGCAAATAGTACCAGATATATGGCACATGTAACACTATTCCTGTGTGAGCCGCACTGATTACTGGTGTGTACAATTCAAGATACAATTGAAGGTGCTGGTGTGGACTTATAGAGCCCTACGTGGCTTGGGATTAAGGTATCTGAGGAAGTGCCTTTTTTCAAGAGTCTCTACTCATCAAACTAAGTCAAGCAGAAGTCTGTCTTTTTCTTCACTGGCCCCTGCAATATGGAACATCTTCCTTTCAGAGATTAGAATGGGTTCAACCCTATTAGTCTTGTGTAAGGTCTTAAAACCCTGGTTATGTTCCTGGGGTGCCATATGTACCAATGGCCCCCTTTTCTGCCCATATTACTAACTGAACAAATATTTTGCTCTTGTGTATGTCAAATTGGATGTTTTTAATGGTTTTTACCGGTTTTACTGTTTCATTGCTTTAAATGATTTTTAAAATTTTAAATTGTAATATATTTTCTGAATTATAAACTTCCCAGGTTAATTGACTGAGATGGATAGCCAGATAAATGGAACAAATAAAGTGTATGGCTTACCAGTTTATGTAAAAGAAATATAGTGCATAAAAATGGAAGCTCTGATAATTCATAAAAAACATTACTTTTTAATATGTACCTTTTGTGTATTTTATTAAATTAACTGAACATATTACCAATGAAGTATTATTAAAATAATACTTTGGATTGCAAGAAAACCCAAGAATGGCCAAACCATCCGTTGTACTGATACTTTTATGGCAAATGGATGTAGGTCAATTTTTCTATTAAAGACAAAAACACATTGAATTAGCACAGAAGAGATGAAAATGAGTGTTTAATATTGTCTCATCCTTTTTTAGAATAGAGGACACAATTCATCTGGTACCGGAACTATGTACCTGGACAACAAAGATGATGGTGCAATTACCAGAAACATAGATATGGAACTGGACTCCCACCACATGGATGTGCTTGGAGATGGAGCAACAGAGCCAATTTCTTACAATGTCAGCAAACTGAAGCTGTTGAAAGAGATCATGATTGGTCAGGGACCATCACATCAACCTTATCCAAATATTGTACAAGAGCCAGACCAGTGTATTACTTTGGGGAAAGATTTCAATCCTCTCTCTATGCAACAGAGGTAAGAATCCCAAGAGGGAATGCAATATATCCTTTTCCTTCTGAAGCATTTGTTCATTGGCTCAGGAATCCATATATGTTTTATTTAACATCTTCCTACAATTAATAGAGACTGTGGGGAAAAAAAGCTTAGCTGAGGAACCATAACAGACAATTGCTGCAAAGGGATAGACTCTCAGCAGGTTTCAGAACTAACACATGCTTTTATAGCAGCTCTGTGAGCAATTTTTTGTGCCTCTATTTTCAAGGATCTTTTTGTCTTCCTTGCTTTTGTACTTAAACAAAACATGCATAGGACACACAAAAAACTCTTTATGCAAATAAAATTATGCCAAAATTGATAAGTCAAAAGTTTACAGGACCCAGTTCTGTAATTATGGGTGATTGCTCAGGTGATTAAATTAAGGCATGAAGCTGCAGTTATGATACTGCAGAATGGTGTTTATTATACATTTCATTTACTGGGTGATGAGTGTGCAAAAAATTTTTTTGATGCCACCAAGTGGGACACACAAACACCAAAAATATTCCAAAAGCCAATTTGCTTTTGCTTTTTTTAAAATCTTTACCGGGTTTTGTTTCTGGTGTACCAGATTGTTTTTATTCTGATCTTGTACCGCTGTATAATTATATTGGTCTCAGGTGTATACAGGAACTTTTGAATGATTTCTTGATAATTGATTCTCCTAGAAGTTTCAGAAAGTGGCAGCAGAAAAGACCACTTTTGACTGTTGTGTCTTCACATATTTTGCTAAGTTTAACTCCCAACAACTCTTCCTTACATGACTAACAGTGAATGATTCTGGAAGTTGAGCAATATTAATATAAGTTCATTTCTAGGACATTCAGTACATAATATTTCTTTTCTGCCATTTTATCTTAACAAACAGGTGTGGGCTAAGGCTCCCCCAAATCCCATGAGTTCTGTTACTGAGTAAAAGATTGAAACATGTAAATTTTTAGTCCATGCAATCTTTGCCGACTATTTCATACTGTCTCAATGTTGCATTAAGCCAAAAGCGTGATATAGTATGATATGTCCATTAGTATAGTATAGTATGATAGTATATTAATGCAGAACCTTAAAACCACATAGGAAAAACATGCAGTTTTTACAATAATTGTAGAATTAATGCTGTGCTTTTTTATAGGGCTATTTTATTAGCTATCATTTTTGTTGCACATCATTTTCACTACTTTTTCTGTTGTTCGGTACTTAGCTGAGAAGAAGTGCATTATAGAAATACAGTGAAATTTATCTTCAGTGTAGAAGAAAGACGTAGACCTTCTGTAGTGAGGTCTTGATTTATTATGGCACTAATAGGGCAGAGAACCATCTCCGCTGGTTTCTTAACACCATATGATGGAAGGGATAAGTTACTCTCTATAGGACAAATGAGATATTGTAAACAAAGGGGGAATCCTGATTTACATTAGGCCACTGCAGGCACAAACTAGCATGATAAGTATGTTTCCAGACAGATAGTCTCTACTTGGTTCCTGAGTGATGTCTCAGTTACGACTTCAGTTCCTGAATCCTATGAATGTCACATACCTGCTGATATAAAACAATCTTCCTTGCTTTACATCACAGAGTCAGATTAAATCACACCAGACAAATAGTCTGATATGTGCATCTTTTATTCAGTGCATGATATACTCACTGGATTTACTCATACATGATTTGGCCTTTGCTACTAGATTGCAAGGCTTGAAAGGAGTAGAATGATGCAATAAATTCATTTGTCTGATGACAGAGTTAAATCCAGTATTAAACAGAGTGTGCTTCTTCAGATACTAGTTTCACCCCTTTCATTCAGTAATCAATAAACAATTTATGTAGTATCTTTCTGTAACAAGAAAAACAGGAATGAAGCTTATGCTTAGGAAGCCTCTAAGATAATATCCTGTGGGGAGATACTTCACCTGCAACTTCCATAGCATCAATAACTCTTGTTATAGTTGCTATGGGGATGCGTTTGTTTTCTGTTATATTTTCCATTTTCCTTATTGCTTGTTTAAAATTTAAAGACAGTACTCACGAAGATCAAGAAAAACACCATTTTTACTAATAAACTTATATATATGTTGGCAAAGTACAGTTTCATAAGCCTGAACTAAGAGAACAAACTGTTCATTCCTGATCTGTTTGTTGTGACAGACATAAATGATGCAAACTGTTTTTAATGGAGAAATGCTTTCACTCATTCAAAGCGACTGTCACTGAGGATCACTTTTCCCAACCTCTGTGGGCTACCTTCTAACATGCATGAGGCTGAGGATTCTGGGAACTATAACTGTAACTTTTTAAAGAATAGATTGGACAGATATTTGTCTGAAATGGTATACAGTTTCCTGCTTGAGCAGTGGATTGGACTAGAAGTCCTCTAAGGTACCTTCCAACTCTGTTATTCTGAGGGAACAAATTGGAAAATGCTGATGTAGAAAGATGAATGTAAAATAACTTATTTAGATAATCTTATGCCCAATCTAATTGATACAATGCCCACAATTACTACATATCATGATTTTGGTTAAAAATAGTCTGGAGTATGTAGGGGTAACATTTCTCCTAAGATATCTGGAGAACATTGACTTGAGGATGAAGGTTCACTCTCTGAGCTTGTGGTTGGTTTCTGAACACTTCATTACCAGGCTAGGTAACATCTTTAATGGAGTTTAGGGTATGTCAGTGTTTTTCTGTTTATGAGGGCTTCAGGTGTAAACGTGTCAATGAGGGTCTTGTGATGGGGAAGTTACATCAAGTGATGTTATTGGGAGGTGAAGTGCTAGTTGGGAGTGGGGTTGAGACCAGGGCTGTCTCTGGCTGGCTGTGTGGTTGATTTAGATTTTGAGGAGTTTGTAGGCTGGTTGTAGATCAATGTGTCTATTGATGGAATTGCTTGTGGAGTGCCAGGCTTTGATGAACTCACAAGCATGGCGGGTGGTAGTGTATGATGAACATTGTCTTGGACAACACATATTTGGAGACTTAGAGCATACCTGTATTTAGCAATGTAAGCTGCTCCTAACCTGTGTTCATGCCAGCTCAACTCTAAGCTTGTAAGCTAGTTTAAGAAAATCCTGTGAACTGAAAAATCTTGGAAGTAGTTTGCAAGGTTTTCAGTCTAGCTACCACATTCTGCTTTTGGATAATTCACCTGCTGATGTGTTTTCTCACTTTTTTGTTCAATGAAAACAACTGCCAATTTCCTTGCTGTTGGTGAGTATTCCTGTAGACATATAAAACATACTTTTATGCACACCCACCCACATGGTTACAGTGTTAAATTAACTTTATATTCACAGGTAGTATGGTAGTTAAGATCTTTGCTTTACTGGATAATTTAATTTTGAATGCTCCAGATTCAAATGTTTATTTAAAAACTGAATTGCCTCATGGACAAATACATATTTAGAAAAATATATTGTCACACGTATCAATATTTTGCTCTATCCTAATTTTTTATGTTTACTATAGGAATTTTCACTTTTTTCATATTTTTTCATGTTTTTTTATTTTACACAGTTTAAATATTTAATTTTCTTCATTTTATTTTTATAAATATAATACATTAAGTCTCTATTCTAAACTATAATTTTATTGTATAATATTACTATTGTTAAATGATTAAATTGGTACTTAGTTTTAATACAATATGATTATTGTAAAATGCTAGTTGCAATGTTTTTTGAAGTTTAAATACTAAAAATAAAACAAAAAGATCTTTGTTTAAAGGTCCAGAGAACCCTGCTGATTGAAAACTTGCCCTGAAACTAGTTTACATTTTTTTTTCTGGAGTAGGTACCATTTTCCCCTCTGTTTTTTGTTTAAACAAATCTAGAATTTTACCATTTTACCATTTCTCCACTTATCTGAACCAAAAGGATTTCTCATATCAATTTCCAGATAGCAAATCCTTATGTGGTAAGGGTAAAAATCCTTTATTAATGAAACCTATTGGTTTGGCTGAAGGCATAGTCTTTCCTCTGAAAAGACTAAACTGAAGTGCCCTGATTCAGATGGAGAGGAGGATTCAAGGCAACATAAAGTGGAAAAGAGTTATCTGGAAGTGGAGCAGCAAAAAGAAAAAGGACCTTGCTACCCAGTCTTGGTGATGAATCAAGAGTTAAGTGTAGCTTTGATCTTACTGAATGAGATCAACCCATTTGTCACATTGATCATTTCTGGAACATTAAACGATGATAATGTCAAAAGATGGATAATCTGGATACTATCATTGCAACTGCCATTCATGCACTTATCCATTCACTAGCATTTTGAGAATAGGTAATTTCTCGTACTGGCCTTTTTCATAACAATTGGATGCATTTAAAAAGAGGTTTGCAAAATGTAGTAGGAATCAGGTTTCTGTTTGTTCAAAAGGATTGAAAGCCATAATTGAACAAAGAAGTTGAAGGAAGGAAGGAAGGAAGGAAGGAAGGAAGGAAGGACAGAAGAATAACAATAGCTCACATTGTTTTACTTTTTAAAGAATAATGTCATATACTGCTGTAAAAAATGTTTGCGTATGTGATTGGGCATTGAGGAAGAGAACCTCATGGTATTATTGCCGAGAGCTTTTGTGACTCAGTTCTGCAAACAGGTTCAATAAATAAATAAACAAAAGGAAGCAAAGAATGACGCTAGAATAGTTTTTGAAAGCATCATGCAACTTTTTATTGTTATTTCCAATATATCTTTGTCCATTACCATCAACCCACTCTCAATCCATATGAGGCTTCTTGTTCCTTCAGAAGACCTTGTACTTTTGTCTTTCATGTGCCATAGAGTTGTTTGGAAGATGCCATTATTAGCAGATTGAAATGTACCTATCACATATTCTTCTAGTATGAGTAAGAGCCACTACTCTAACTACCAAATATGATTGTTTTATGGTTGTGGAATACTGAGATAAATTATAGAGTTTGATTGATACTAAGCCACCTTATGTGTAAGCTCTCTAGAAATAGCTGTCTCAATCAGTTTCAGTCTGAATA